CAATCAGCTAACAAGTATAATTGATTTATCGTGAAGGAAGGTCTCTTATTTGTAAGGAAACGGAGTCTTAATGGTGACTTATTGCTACTTCAACAAAAGAACCTGTGTATTTCCTACACCACTGCTGATTTCACACCACATGTTAACAGCATGTATTTTGCCTTATTTGCCATAATAAACTATAATGTCATATAACCCCAAGCATAGACATCAACAGCATATCCATTAATTATCTTAAGTGTAATAAAATTGTCACCAAAGTTAACACCAACTGAAGACAAGCTAACAAAGTATTTTTTACTGACAATTCACATAAGAGTCCAAGGACTATTACCAAACATTGTCGGTGCTGCTATTAGACTTCACATGATTTCATCACCATTTTCTTAAGTAACGTCCTCCATCTCCTCTGTATTGTTGACTAGCCTGAAACCCCCTCCAAAGAGCTTAACAGTGAATCCCAACATACCAAGTTCAACCCCCCCATGACACCATGTTGATGTTGCTTTTGTTGCCCATATGGTGTTCTGCTGCCTTATCCAGATCCAGTGGCCTGCAGTGTCTGCTGCTGACAGATCTTTGATTGTTGATGATGTAAGTGATGTTTGATGGTGAGCCCTGTACTGCACCCCAGCGTGTTTCAACCTAACTGTAGATGTTGCAACACAGGCGCCGCAGTCAATCTCTGTGGGTTCTCCACTTTCACAGTTGACAGTTGAACGTCAGCTGCCACATTCAAGTATGAGTCAAGTTTGCTCTTGGAGAACTTCTCAACAGAGCCTTCCCATGGCATTGTTAGGTCTACGATATACACCATTTCATAACACAAAGTCATTGCTGTAGACTGGAAATTAAAACTAGTTTACCCACAAAAGAGCTTCCAAAACTTCCAACTTTGACATCTGGAAATTAATTATTTCAGTATGTTTGGCTGAAGAGTGTGTAGACAGCCTCTGGCTTACACGAAATATGGGAATGATACAGAAAGCCTGCAGCCAAATCAGTCTGAGACAGAAATAACCCAGTTCAAATTGGATCATCAGACAAGCAATAGAATGTTTTTATTTTTTTGGGGAGGGGGAAGAGGGGGAAGTTTCCAACGCCACGGTCATGAACCCTTCAGCTGTTTACGGCAGGTCATTGTGCCTTAAAGACCACAGTTGTGTATGTACCAATCTACCAATGTACTATTTTAGCTCATTCACAGCAAATGTGTGCATATGTGAGTGCTATGAATTCTGATCAATCATAATTATCATATATAAAGCATTTCTTAACAAATAACTGTTTTCGACCTACAATATAGGTCACAAAGAGCATTTGTTAAATAATTATTTTTCCACAACTTCTATGCACTATAGAAGTAGAAGCAGCAGCGAGCGTCTACCAGAGAACAGAACTGTGCTCTACCAGCCTAGAAAAATGATAAAAATAAATGCTGCTATTTTCTACATGTTTCAACATTTTAATCGTATTATTTTATATTGAAGCTCAAGCCACCAAGGGTGAACTTGGTTTTTAAAACAGGACTATAAGACCAAACACAGTGAAATTCTAATTCTAACTTCTTAAGGACAAAACTACTGTAATGAAAAACTGAATACATACATATCCACGCCAAAAACTGGGGCAGAGCTTTAGCTGAAAACAAGTCAACAAGGAAGTGAAAGGAAGGGGGGGAACAATCACACTGCAGAACCCAAATTTGGCCTTTTTATTACAACAAAAAAACTGTTTCAGGTACAGGCGGTGCACATTTTTAATGTTTTTGTTTGTTGACGTGGTATCACTTAGTTTGGGGTCAAGTCAGAGTTGAAATCAGTAAATATAAGTCTCACGTAAGTCTCAAGGAAAAACCGATTACAAGTTAGAGAATGGAAGAGTAGGTGGACAACCATGAACCTTGAATAAATTTGATTTAAAAAAGTAAATGGGGTTGTATTTTATCACTATAAAGCAATTGCTTATGATTAATGAAACACCTTGGCTGCCAATGTCATGATATACATGTTAGTAATTTTCACTAACCATCTAGTAACA